CCCCCCCCCCCCCCCCCCCCCCCCCCCCAAATTTCGGGCCCTCTCCCCACCTTCCGTGTCAGGCGGGTCTCCTGGGGGGGGGATGTGTGGCGCGGCTGCTTCCCGGGGCCCAGGGCGGCCGCGGGGTTCAGAAGGAAGAGACCGTGAGGAAGACCGGGCTGGAAGCAGCCGCCGGACTTCCTAGACTTGAACTCTCACCGATGCCTGTCGGGCCCCAGGAAAGACGTTCTGTCACGTTCTCGAGGCCACCTTCCCCGGGGCTAAACCCTGCGGGCCACTGCGTGTGTCCAGTGCTATCAAAGCACCATCCTGCCTGACGGGGGGGGTGGGGGTGGGGGGGTCCTGTGGCTTAATGGCAGAACCCCTGGTTCGCATGCAGAAGTCCCCCCCCTCCTCCCCAGCACCTCCTTTACCTTCATGCAATGGTCTGTCCTAGCAGTGTAAAGCAGCTTCATGTGCTCATGTATCCAATAACAGTCTATCACACCCGCATGGGTGCCAAAGACAGTTTTGGGTGTACAAGGCAGACAATCTAAATTGTGCCCCTCCTCTCAGCAGTTAAATCAGGGGTGTTGAACATAAGGCCCAGGGGCCGGAACGGGCTCGGCAACTCTGGTATGTATGGAAATGTCAGGTTCTCCCCTTCTTAGGTTATCCCTTGGGGGGGAAACCTAGTCTTGTGTGTGATTAAATACATTAATTGGGGCTTTCGTGGGTTCCCCAGTAAATCAATTGCTTTCACTGCTAGGAATCAATTGCTTTTGTTCATGTTTTGAGTTAAAAATAATGTTGTTAATTGGGTTTGCCTGTGTCCTTTATAGAGTTTATATCTCCTGTAACTGGCATTACATTTATGGCTCACATGGCCCGGCCCGACCAAGTGACATTTATGCCAGATCCGGCCCTCGTAACAAATGAGTTTGACACCGCTGAGTTCAATGACTAAACACTGTCTAGTCCGTTTTCCTGTAACATGCCCACATCTGTTTCCCGAAGCAACGGCCCTACCTATTTGTAGGGGCATCCAGCCTTGCTAGCCAGTCACCAGGATGCGTCTGTGAGAGAATTGCCTCTCTAGAGCCAGCTGTGCTCTGGGGTGGCCATGCCCAGCTGCTTGTTTCCACTGTCAAGAAGCCAGCTGCCTCTTAGTCCTCTGGAAGCAGCTCCCAGCTGTGTCCTTGTGCCTCTGGTGCTGGACAGGAGTGGACTCTTGGAGGACTCCTTCCCATCGAAGTCCCTGTTCTCCCCTTCCTCGGGGTTGCTTTCTCGAGGCCAGCGCTGTCTTGGCTGGATCCCCACCCTCCTGGCATCACGTGGCCATGGCCAAAAGGGCGCTCGAACCTTTTGCTCTGAAGCCAGATTGGACTTTTGTTCTTGCATGCTGCTGTTTGAGCTACACTTGGAGGGCCTGTTGCCCTGGAAAGTTGTTAATTTTGTTCTTAAGGCATAGTTTACCTGACCAATTCATGACATGCCTGCTTGCATCTGGCTGGAGCTGGAGAAGGAAAACTATCCTAAGCAGAGTGGTTGTACAAATTGTATTCATGCACCATTAATTTTAATGCACCAAGATATGCGATAAGTTGACTCTTCCAGCTGTGTGCTTACAAAAGTAGTAAGGCGGGGGAAGTCCCTCTTTCTATTGAGAATGCTCTTTCTTCTTCTTTTTTTGCTCCCCAATGGGGAATTTTTTTATTGTATTTTTACTAAAACTACAAACTATAACAGAAATAAATCTTTCTTCTTGTCCGTTAGCTCTCCTTTCCCCCCACTGTCAAAGTTTAGACTTGTAAGCTTCTTGGATGCTGGGATCTTTGTTGCTGTTTCCATTGTTCTTAAGTTGCCACATACCTAGGACAGTGCTACATACGGTAAGTAAGTAACAAATAGTTCTGAGACATCCTTCTCACGTGGTTCTGAAAATAAAACTCTGGGGGAGGTCATTCCTGGGGCGCATCACACACGTACCTGGGGCTAGAACTCTCAGCTCCTCTGAATCCAAAATTCTAGGCTTGGAACAACATTTTACAACATTGTTTTAACATTCTTTCCCCCTCACAAATGCCTTACAGATAGGAGATGGAAAGACTCTTGTATCTTTTATAGTTGTCTAGAATTATTTGACTGGGATTTGCAGAGGTGGAAAAGCTGCCCCTACACAAATCCTCTCTTTCATGGGACACAGAGATCCCCATGTGGGAAGGGTCCCCAACCGTGTTGAGCCTGTTGACATTTTGAGAGCAAGTAGTAGTGGGTGCCACCACAAAATAGCTGCCACGGGGGTTAGGGTCCAGTCACAAAATGATCAGAGGTTCCACGTCAAGCATCCTAACTGTGAAGGAGACAGGTGGTTCTTGCGGGGCTGTTCTGAAGTGCCCACTGCTCTAATGAGGCAGAAGAAAGCCAGGACGGACCATTTGCTTTGGGGAAGGGATGCTTTGAAGAAGAAGGATGTAGGCACCGGGAACCCCACTAGGTACCATGTCGGGGATCACTGTTTGGTTAGTGGGGGAGGGGAGGCAACAAGGGAAACATTTGCAGGCAGGAGGGGATCTGTTGGGGCAGGTGCTGCAGAAGGCGGGAGAGCTGAGCGGAAGGCAGTGGCCACTCTCTCAGGTGGTCATCTTTGGCTTCCTTCTCAGCCTCCAGCAAACATTACCTAGATGTTTTTCAAGCTTTTCACAACCTCCATGAAGAACTTAGCTTTCTGTTCAGACCCGTCCATCACTGTAGCATATAGTGTATTTGACCCTTAATTTACATACTTCTGGGTGAAATAGGGAGAAAACAGAGGATAAGACAAAGGAACAGACTTTCCTGAGACAGATTAATTCTGCCCTGCTCTGTCTGTCATTTAAACTGGTGTTCTCTGGGCAGCAATAGAACATTCATTTCCCTCCCCTCCTTTCTGCTGAATGGGGCACCTGCTTTTTCTGAATTTCTGTAGCACGTTCTGTGTTCAAGAGCACATCCCTGAGACATGGCTTCCGGAGTGTGTCAAGGAACAGCTGCTTTCTGGCATTGTATCCCACCAGGCTTACCAAGTACTTACCGTGATTCGGCGGGGGACACATACGTCTTCCCAGGACCATTCCCGCGCGGACAACAGACACGCCGCACCATGCCATCGCCGGGAAGTGACGCTGGGTGATGCTCTGGCAATGGGGCTGGAAACTCGATGGTACCATTGTCAGAGCGTTGCCCAGCGTCACTTGCTGGCGATGGCATGGTGCGTTACAGGGAGGAATGTTCCGGCCTGGGAGCATGTGTCCCCCGCCGGATCGCGGTAAGTACTTGGGAACCCTATATCCCACAGGCAACATCGGTCTTTAAGGTTCCTCTTTCAATTTCCATGCTAAATTGTGTGGTGTTGACACTGCTGCTGCTGCTGCTGCTGCTTCTTCTTCAGGAGCTATCAGCATTTCTGCCCACCCAGATTTTGCTTGTTTACAAATGCTTCTGGATTGAGTGTCTTCTCTGAATTTTATTACCAGCTTGTTTACTTTCTCTTCTGCTTCATTCTAGAAAGCTCAAGTTAACTCTGAAACTGAAGAACTTCAGAAGGGTCAACTCCAAATGTTCAAAACAAAAAAGCTTCCTTCAAAACTCAGCAGGTTGGCTTAACACTTGGAGTGCTTACAAGTGAGGATTCTTTGATTGGCTAATACAGTTTGTGCCTTTCTAGGCCACACTCTTGGGGTGATTTCCCACAAGCGCTGCTCCCGCGCTCGCTCTTCCCTTTTGCCCTGATGGTACGTGTCAATTTCACACAAGCTGATGCGTTTTGCCCCGCAGCTTTGTGCGATTTTCCCCGCGTCTACTCAATCCTCAAAAAACAGGATTGAGTAGACGCGGGGGAAATCGCACGAAGCTGTGCGGTCGCGCAGCAGCTTGTGTGAAATTGACGCGTACCATCGGGCCAAAGAGAAGAGTGAGCGCGGAGCAGGGCTTGTGGGAAATCACCCTTGCTCTCCACCTTTCCTTTGCCACTAATAATCCTGAAGCATATATATGACGTCATGTTCATGTGTCCAAAGCACTATTCAGTCTTTACAACAGTCCTCATTATCATTCCTGTATTACAGGTGCTAGATGACAGAGAGAGAGAGAGAGAGAGAGACAGACTCCTACAGTTACCTAGGGAGTTGATGGCAGAGGCAAGGTATGAACCAGGGACTTCTGGATCCACAACAAAGTTTCTCCAGCACTACGCAAAACTGCCAGCAGGCTCTTACAGGCCCCTTGGGCATAGGGTGGCCATGGGGCCACTCCGGCACTGCCATCCATCCTGCAGCCCCAGGGTGTTTGCTCTAAAGGGAATCAAGGGCAACTCCCCCATGCTCATTTTAGCATCAGCCTTGTCAGAGAACCTAAAACAAGCGGGAAACAGTCTAAGAGCCAGTCTGGTGTGGTGGTTGAGTGCGCGGACTCTAATCTGGGAGAACCGGGTTTGATTCCCCACTCCTCCACTTGCACCTGCTGGATGACCTTGGGCAAGCCATAGTTCTGGTAAGAGCTGTCCTTGAAAAAGAGCAGCTTCTGTCAAGAGCTCTCTCAGCCCCGCCTACCTCACAGGGGGTGTCTGTTGTGGGGAGGGGAAGGGGAAGGAGCTTGTTAGCCGCTCTGAGACTCCCTTGGGTAGTGAAGGGCCATGGGGTGTAAATCCAGTCTCCTCTCCTTCTTCTTCTAATTTTGCTCCGTCCAGCACACCTCCTATCAGGGAATCAGAGATTTCCTTCAGATTTTCCCCAGACGGTTGCATGTCAGTGGGGGACCTGGAAATAGGAAGAGAGCAAGGAGGAGGCAGCAGAACAAGGTCCTTTCCTGCTCAGCTGGTGGTTTTCTTATGCTCCGTTTCTTCTCCTGCCACCATGAGCTAGGTTGTTCCAGCGTTTCCAACTGGCAGTGGGCTCTTTGCCAGGTCTCGGGCCTTGGCTAGCTACTCCCCCCCCGCCACCCCTTGCGTCTGCCCTTGCCGCTGGCTCTGAACTGCAGCTACTCGAGCTAAAAACTTTAAGCATTACTCAGTCCCAAGTGAAGAACTCTTAAGTACTGCTGATTGCATTGGGTGAATTTAAACAAGCCCACCCATTGATGTTAGTGGGACCTACAGAGGCTTAACTTTGGCTAGATTGTAACCTTTTGTCTGGTGAAAACTGAAGCTGAGACCTTAAAGATTTCTGCTTTGTGGAGCCTGTTTGGCTGATAGTGTGGGGTAAAAAAATGAAAATGAGATTGTGGCATTTGCCATGCTAAGGTGAAAACTCAAATGACTGAATTTGCCCAAACCTCATTTGTACCCAGCAACTCAAATATTATGAATACTATTAGTAATGCTGTTACCCAAAGCTGCCCAGATTAACCAGGTGTAGGTATGTGAACACAGACAACCATGTCAAAGGGCATCTTTATGGGAATAGCAGCACTCCCATAATATCCATACTTCTGATTATGGCAAAGCATGCAGATGAAAATGTTAGGGTAAGTGAGGCTACCTTTTACAAATTCTGTCTTTGGCCAGTGGATGGAACGTTGGTATTGGAACCCCTGTTTAGCTGTGAAGCTCGAAGGACTGGTTTGAACCCATCTAAGCCTAACCTGCCTTATGGGGCTGTTCACAAGTGCAAAGCATTCTATACACTGGGAGATGGAGATGCTTTTTGGCTGTGCTCTGTCACAGATTTAATGATTTTTGGTGATTTTAATTGGTTTTAACTGCTTTTAGTCTCCCACTTGAAGCAGTCTGCTTTTTATCTTGTTTTGTTAACATAGGGAGGGAGGGTTTCTTTCTGTTAGCGAAAGTTCCCTCGTCACTCTTATCTAAGGCATTCTCAGCAATTACAAATAGCGTGGAGGAGGTTTTCTTTCTCCTTTAACAATGCAGCTACTGTTAGCTGCTGGAGGTCTCGTCTTCTAGACTTTTTAGACTTTTACACTGTTTTTGGACTAGAAGCTGTTACAGAAATACTCTCCCCTTGGTAGGCTACGACAGGGTGGGGCAGGGTGAAGGAACCGTAGTGCTAAGAGAAACTTGAGTAGCCTGGAGAAGAGGGAAGGCAAAGGAGAAGGTGAGGAGAAGGGAAACGGGGAAGAATTTAGAAAAGAGGAAAAACAAAGGAGAAGCTCAGGAGAAGGGAAACTGGGAAGAATTTACCTTCCCCCCTTATGTTTCTCTCTCTCTCTCTCTCTCTCTCTCTCTCTCTCTCTCTCTCTCTCTCTCTTTAAAGGTCCATTAGTGCCTTAACCCTTACAACCCTTTTAAGGCCATTCCGGTTGAGGCTTTTATGGTTTTACTGTTCTCCTAGGTTTTAGGTTTTAATCTAATTTAAACAGATTTGTTTAATAATGGAAAATAAACGAAGTAGTGGGAATTTAGTAGTTTAATCTGATATTAGCTAGGTACTAAAGATATTTTACTGATCTGATTTTAAATATATTTTTGCTACCTATCTAGCAGTGTAGTGTCGTATGAAAATGAGGAAAAGGGTGCACCCCCTTGATGAGGATTTACCACCTTCTAAGCAGAGCAAGATGGAGAATGTTCTTGTCACAAAAAATTCTAATAGATCTCTTTCTCCTAGGAACAAAGACATGTCGTCCCCCCAAGTCCCTTGAATATTTCTTCAGATCCTCCTTTATAATCTCCTACTTACATTGTTATTATAGATGAACTTCTGGAAAAAAACAAAAAACGGAAGATGCAACAAATAGACCTGGAAGTGTTGGCAGATCAGACACTCTTAATATCTAACACTACAGAAAGTCTTTGAAAAATTAGATATACTATCAAAACTTATTGAAGATTTTCTGGTAAAGGGGAGTAAGGACAATATGAAAGGAACAGTGGCATCCAATGCTCCCTCTAAGCTATGGAGTCTTGTGAGCAAAAATTTTACTTTGTGAGCTACTGGCATTAAAGTTGTGAGTGAGCAATTCGACTACTGCATAGATTAGTTTGCTCTGGAGTCATCCTTCCTGGGCTAAGACAAAAATGTGTGAGCTGGAGGCTAAAAACCTGTGAGCCAGCTCACACTAACTCAGCTTAGAGGGAACACTGATGGCATTGACAATGTCAATGAGAGAGCAAGATCTAAGTAAACAAGGTGAAGGGGTGACTTAATCTAAGAGTAAGGATGGAGAGGATGGGGTGATTGACCTAAGAAAACGATGGGGGGCAACCCTGTATCAAACCTGGATCCCCTCGCTCACCCTTTGATCCTTGATAGTAACAAAATAGTACTGAACATTTTACCCTATAATGGTTGAATGATAAACTGGGTGAATAAATGGGCAGTTAAAGAACATCTGTCTTATCTGCTACAAACTGGGTCTTCCGATGTCTTAAAACTTGTGGAAAGAATTCCAGGTTTCCTGAGGGGGGATAGAGTTAGACTTCATTTTATTCCCCATGGATATGAACATTAATGTTCTCAATGCAGGAGTATTTAAGCAAATTTCAGGTCTTCCCGGTACAGTCATTCCATTAAAAAGGGAAGACTCTTAAGGAGTTCTGAGGTTTCATCTCTGCTAAGGAGAAATAGAAAAGAACACCCCCCCCCCAAGCCCAGTCAAATAGAAGATGATTGTGAATTTCTTATCGGCCTCACCTCCCAGGAGCCAGCATCTAAGCAGTGCACTGATTTCATGAACTATCCAAAGCCCCCTTGGAAACCTGAAGAACCACCACTTCAAAACGACCCTTTATTAACATCTACCTCCCCACAGCCGAACATGGCTACTATAGTAAATAATGGTGCTAGCATGGGTGAAATTGAGTGCATGGAAGAGAGCTTATTAGCATCCTTTGGTGCCTTCCCACTCAGAGATCAGGACATCACGATTCAGAGACTACTACTCTGTATGACATTAAAACACAAGCTGACCATAAACCCTCATGGCATGAGAAGCCAGCTCTGCCCTTGAGTCCTTTCAGTCACAGATTTCTGGAGGTTCATCTGGGGAACCAAACTCTAAAGAAAAAAAGGACTGACTGAGAATATTATCCTGGAACATGACTGGGTGGGCTGCTAGGATGAGGACAAGCGATGTTACAGAATTCCTGAGCAAATTTGATCTAATACTACTGCAGGAAACATGGGTAAAGACTAAAGAGTATCTCTCTGGCTTCACCCCATATGTTATTTTACCAGCGGCTGATACTGAGGAAAGTGGAAGGTGCTCTGGAGGGTTGATTTGTCTGATCCCAGTAATCCTCAACGTCAGGGTTACTGAGTTACCTAATTGTCCTCCTTTTTTTACATTTAATATTTTTATTGATTTTCTGACACACACTGAATCTTGACCACACGTCTTGAAAGGTATTTTCTTCTTTTCCTTGACGTCGCATAGTTAAATTGTCCATTTCGGCTATATCCATTTGTTTACAAATTACATCCTGTTTTGAGGGTAGTTCTTCATTTTTCCACTTACTGGCAAATACAATTCTAGAAGCGGTTACTATCTGGGTAATCAAATATGAATCTAATTTCTGTTATTGTTTAGGAATTACATTTAACAAGAAGATTTCGGGTTTAAAGGGCACGTAGACCCCTAACATTTGCATTAACAACCCATGTACCTCTACCCAGAATTTTTGTGTCTTGTCACAAGTCCACCAGAAGTGATAGAAGGAGCCAACTTTA